CCTCTTGCTGCTTCACCCTCTGCCCTCTGCTGGCTGCCTGAGCACTCCGAGTCATTCCACATCTCACCTATCTTAGTGTGCTCAGTGCTTACCTCAGGCTGAGAATGTTTGTTCACAGTTGCAGTGTCTGGAAGTCCAAGATCAAAGTGCCAGCAGGCTCACTGTCTGGTGAGCCCATCTCTGACTCATAAATGGCAACTTCCAGAGATACCTTTGTGTGCTGGGAGTGTGAACACACTACCTTGGGCCTCTTTTACATGGGCACAAATCTGTCCTTGTGGCCTAATTGCCTTCCAAGGCCTCTACTTCTCTGTATCACAGCAATAGAAATTAGATTTCCACAAATTTTAGAGCAACATAAATATTCAAATCATTGCATCCTCTTGACATTAAATCAGAATCTAGGTGTATTCATCAGCTTTCTGTCCCTGATGAATATTCCAGGAGCAATTAACCTATAAAAAAAAAAGTCATTATGGCTCCTGGTTTGGGAGATTCTAGTACATGGTCAGGTGGCCCCATTATTCTGTGCCTTCCATGAGGGCGCTGATGGTAATGACAGGCTTCACAAAATCTCATGACACCAGAATCGAAGAATAAGACTGTAAGTGGAAGAGACTAGGGTTCTAATGTCCCGTTCTTTGGTGAATCCCCAAGGATCTAATACCCTCCGCTAAGCCCTATCTCTACTAGTTTCCATCATCTCCCAATAGTGCCAAACTGTGGACCAGTTCTTTACCATATGGGCCTTTGTGGGCCACTCATTCAATTACAGCACAAGGAACTAATCTGATGTCCCACAGACTTTCTTTGGAACCAATCTCTTCTACTTGATTTACTTATATTGATTACTCTCAGGTACTTGGAAGTTCTGGGCTGTGTGCTACATTACACACAGCTACATCACAGAGAGAGAACTCACACTGTGGCTATAGGCTCAGTTGCTGTGTGATTGGCACTCCTGGCAGTGGGAGGAGGGGGGCCAGAGGTCAGCTGTCACTAGGCACTGTCTGGATGTCAGGCCCACACATTGCCTCATGGGTCAAAATGTGGACAGTTGCAACAGGAAACATGGGCCACAAAACGATGGTCAGTAGAAGCAGCATGAAGCTGAGATGTGGGAAAATAGGATACAATGAGCTCTAGGAAGCGAAGTTCATTCGAGAGGGTAAACCGAATCAGGTCAATTAGAGGGAAATCAAACAGCAGTAGCCCTGTGGCCAGACCCTGTGCTGAATGCACCACGTACATCATATGAAATCCTCAGAAACCCAATTTGCAGATGAGGAAAGAGCATCTCAGGCTTTATGTGTCTTTCCCACATCACAGAGCTCAAGCCAGGATTGCAACTCATGTGCATCTGGGTTCATCTGCATCATGTGTTTCTGCAAATTATGGCATGGGAAGGGGTTCTTGTTATTGCCAGTGTCCTTTTAATCAAGGAAATCAGGCCTTGAATCTAGCCTTCAAACACAGTGATGTTTGTTTAGCACTTACCAGGTATGATAAGCCATTTTGTGTTTGTTAGTATTCTGGAAACTGTTGGCTATTCCAGCCAGTCTTCTCTGGTATACTTGTTGGAATCTCAGCCCATATTTGCCTTGCTCACATAGTGATCTGGAATTGGAGGGAACTGGAAGTCACATGATTGATGTAGCAATTCTGATCTTATAGAGGATTAGCAGCATGTCCTTGGAAAAGTCATTTTTCTTGTCCTAAAAGGAAAGTACCCAGGCATCAAGGAGCATGCTAAAAAATGCTCACAGCAACTCTGAATGAGAGCAAGAACAACTGAAGACCACCCAGGATAGCAGCAATGATCCACGGTGACCTGTGTGGTAGACAGCCTCCGAGTTGGTTCCCAGCCATCCCCACCTCTGGTATTGTCCCAGGTGGTAAACCAGGGCCAATCTAAATAATGAATAGCACAAGGCAAAATATATGGCAGGTCACATTGTCAAGACAATGGCTTCCACCTTGGGATTTTTTTCTCCTCCTTTCTCTCTAATCACTTGCTCTGTGGAAGCTTCCTTGTCCTGAGAATTCCTGGAGAGAGCCCACTTCTCTCCAGAACAGAGTCCACCTGCCACCAGGTATGGGAGTGAGCCACACCAGGAGCCAAAGTTCTACACAAGCCTCCCAGTGACTGGAGCCTCTTAAGACAACTCAATCCCCAGCCCACAGCTCAGCTGCAACCTCACCAAAGGTCCTGATCCATAACCACAGGGGCAAGCTGCTCCATATTTTGGACTCAGAAATGGTGTGAGATAATACATTTTTGTTGTTTTCAGCTGCTAACTTTTGAGGGAAATTTTGTTATACAGTAAGAGGTCACGAATATGCCACATGCTATAGAGCATTATGTAA